TTTCTAGAGCAGAAAATTGGAATGAAACATGACCACCAGTAAAAAGAGAATAGCATTCCTAGCAGCAGCCAGATTACAAGTCTTTATTTAACTCTGAACTGATAGAGTTTCATTCTTATCAGAACCAGTCTGAAGGAATTTATCCTGGTGCTTGAGTCAGGGTGTTGGTATGCAGTCAATACTAATAGCTACTGGTCATCCCAACTTCCCAAGGGCAGAACAAAATAACAGTAACAAGTAATAATAAACAATTATAATCCAAATGAAAAAAAGCAATGACGAAAAGAGCAGGATTTAGAGTTATGTAATTCAGCAGTATACCTAAATAGCAACAACAGTCATTATGTCTGGATTGGAACTGGGAATGTACAAGCACAGTTAATTCTAGACTTAATTTCAACCTACACTTGACACTGTTTGGCACTTCTCTGAAACTGCTCTGTGTTTTTAAGGCCAATGGTTGTAATTCATGCTTCAAACTTTAAAGACAAAGCACGAACGCTGCAGGCATGAAGGCTGCATGGATTCTTTTACAGTTCAACAGTATTCTAGCTCCCTATCCCAACACACACACACAGGTACGCACAAACACACAAACTCTGTGGGTGTCTGCCTGTGTAACTGCAAAAAGCAGAACAATAACAGGTTAGGCATAATTAATGACCTTTAGTATACTGCTGATACCCCATCTTTCATCTGGGAACTTCGCATGGTTGGAAGAAAACTAATTGTAACAGCTTGAAAGAGGAATATGCAACAATGGGAGATCTAAATTTGCTGTGCTTAATTGCTGGATCCAGAATTTGAATATCAGGGTTTTTTCATGCTTATTAATATAGCTATTTGTATTATTCCAGGATTTCCCCCTCTCATTTCAGTTCTAGAACTGATAAAGTGAGGCTATGGCTAGCAGTTGGGAGATAAAACTGCTTATACAATTAAGAGGACTGGATTAGAATTTTTTTTCTTTGTCGTGGGAGAGGGAATGGTGAGCATTTCAGTGAAATTCAAGCAAAAAAAAAGGTGTTGTAGTCAATCCAAGTTTAGCAAAGAAGGGATCCAAATAACATAATTANCTGCCAAATTGCAGGCAGCCGGCAGTCAGTAGAAGTAGCCTGCAGTACTGCTTTCTAACCACTGCGCCACCAGGGCTCAGAATGAAGGATGCTTACAAATAGTCCTCAGAGTTGTCAGTCAGAGTATCCCAATAGTTCTATGATCACAATTTGGGTGCTTGGCAACCAGATTGCAATTATGATGTTGCACTGTCCTACAGTTACATGATTGCCATTTGCAACCTTCGCTTCCAACTTCCAACAAGCAAAACTAATGGAGAAAATGGCAGGAGGTTGTAAGCAATGTTGTTTAATGAAGAGTTCTGGTCCCAATTATTGTCAGTAACTTCACAAATTGGATTACTTACTGGATATGAAAATATCTAGATCCTCATTCCATTATCAGGAGAACCAACAATAAGTCAACTATAAACACACACACATGCACATACGATACAAAGCAAAAAGTTATTGCAATACCAGAGAATAGCTCTGACTTGAACTGTAGCTCTGGGTTCCACTTCAGACACAATTCCAGTATTTCCAACAGGCAGAAGAACTTTATTTTTAGCCAACATACTGTAGATGGATGCATTGAAATAGTTTCCCAATACAAATCATTGTTATTAGGCCTGTGAAACAGCTTCTCAAATCTTGTCTCTTTACTTGAACTATGAGACAAGGAATATGTTCTGAACAATAAATATATTTGATTCAAAAAAATGAATTTTCCCATTGCAGTGTAGAAAGCAAAGGCTAGAACTGTGATGGCGAACCTATGGCACGCGTGTCAGAGGTGTCACCCAGAGCCCTCTCTGTGGGCATGCACGCCATCACCAGCTGCTCTTCCAGGTTCCATCAAGCACATGCACATCAGCCAGCTGGTTCGGTGCCCATGTACACCGGCCAGCTGCTCTATTTTGGGTTCTGGCACATGCATGCACGCTAGCCAGTGCAAATGTGCGTGACAGAACCCAGAAGAGCAGCTGGCCACCAAGCGCATGCACACTGGCCGGCTGCTATCTTCTGGGTTCTGGTGCTCCAGCGTGCGCACGCTCCACTTTCAGCACTTGGTACTGAAAAGATTAACCATCACTGGCCTACAGCAACAGATGTAGTAAAGTACTGACATAAACATATGATGCAAATACATATGATATACAAAGATGCATTTATGAACTTTCTATTTGAAAATGTCTGCATAAATGTCCATCTCTTTTTCTGAATATTGGAATATTCAGAATATACACTATATTGCCAAAAGTATTCGCTCACCCATCCAAATAATCAGAATCAGGTGTTCCAATCACTTCCATGGC